GGAACGAAGGCCGCCAGTTTGAGACGCCTTTCGCTGCCAATTGGCCCTTTCGCAATTTGCTGCATGTCGTTCCAGGACCAGTAGTCCCGGAGACGGCTCAAACTGGCGGCGTTCGTTCTCCTACCCAGTCACTTACCACTTATACCAGAAGACACCATGGCGTCATTATCTATATAGCCCCTAAACAAGAACCGACAAGCTGAAGGGCGCCTCAACCCCAGAGGGAAACATCCTTCATAACTCCTTTTACAGAACCGTTCCGCAACTAGAAAATATGAATTTGGAAACAGCGTCTTTAAGATGATTCATGCCTCTTCTGGATTGGTCGGGGCCGCTTGGGATCCTTTCCTCGTTAGTTGATATATTCAAATGCTTACGCTTTTTGTTTGACCGCCACCCACAGTTACAGTAGCGTTTTGGAACAGCGGAAATGGGGAATTGATCTGAAAATAGATATAAATTCCTGTCTTTCAGCCTTTGGAATTAAAGTACCGTCACTGTGGCATCGACAGTCCCAGGATTCGTGATGGTTACCGACAAATTCTCCGTGTAAGAAGTGTCCTTTGCGCTTATGTGGCTGTTCAAGAACGAGAATACGAAAGAAGTTCCTACAGCAGATAAAATTGTGGGAGAAAAAGCTTCCAGAGAAGAGTTATTTGCACCTTGAGAGACTGCGGCTGCCGAGAGATCTACAGCCTGAGACGGTGCCATCCTCAGATACCTCGGAAGCTCACTCTTTAGCCCTCAAAATTCCATATTTATGTAGAGTGAACCTTCTCCATGGACGATATGGAGAAAGAACGGGTAAATATGACAGCGTTATCTCACAAAAATGATGATACTTTGAATTTTTGAGCCTGAAGTTTTCTCTAAACTCTATTTGGGACTTGTTGCGTCCATTTTCGAGAAAGCTGAAGACAGTTTGTGAATGTTGAACAAACCGAGTCTTTGAAGAAGCCGTCGAGTAACAAAAAAGTTTGGTACGCGTACAATAGTCTCATGTTGTTC